TCTGGCCTGCAAGGAACTTAAGCTAGAAGAGAGCCTGAAACAAACAATTGCCCAGGCTCTGCGGAAGCACAGGAGTGGAGCTAATTCCCTGTGCAGGGGGTATCAGCAGAGGCTTCCCAGAAAAACCGAGCCCTTCAGGTACACTGTGTGTACCAGGAACATGTGTAAGAATATAGCCAGAGAAGCAAGGAAAAAAACATCCAGTTATTGGTATCATAGAGGGAGAGGGTGTTACTCTTTCAAATAATTTTAAAACAATTTGACATTTTTATAATTTTCTTTTGCAAGTTTACTAGCTATATTTTACTTCTGTTAAATGTATTACTATCATTAATTGGCGCATCATAATTGTACATAGTTATGAGGTACTGCATATGTGTATTTGCATATGTGTATACGATGAGTAAGGATCAAGTCAGGGTCATTAGCGTAGCCATCACCTCAAACACTCGTCGTCTCTCTGTGCTGGGGCCGTTCTTTCACCCCTCCTTCCCTCCCTGCTGCCTTTGGAGTTGGCTGTCCCACCCTGCAGAGGTGACACAGCTTTTCCAACAATGCTTTAAAGCTGTTTTTAGGGACAGTGACAAGTTCTTCGGCCAGAAACCCAGCACGGTGGCAGGTGACACCCTCAGCAGAGAGCAGTGGTCGTGCCCTGTGTTGACCGGCAAGTGCTCACCTGTCCCTGTTCTTCGTTCCCTCAGGTCTCTGCCCAGGACGGGTCTGGAACCTAACCCGGGGCGTCCATGACCCCGGCGGTGGCTTCGCGTCAGCAATGAAAGGGTTATCGGGCAGCCGCAGCCATCACCACGGGGTCACCTGTGAGGCCGCCTGTGACCCGCTGTCGCACCCCTCGGACCGCAAGCCCTACCTGCTGAGCCCGGTGGAGGCCCACCCGGCGGACCACCCGTACTACACGCAGCGGAACTCCTTCCAGGCCGAGTGCGGGGGCCCCTTCAGTGACCCGCTGGCCAGCAGCACCTTCCCGCGCCGCCACTACACGTCGCAGCAGGAGCTGAAGGACGAGTGCGCGCTGGTGCCCCGGCCCCTGGCCGCCAAGGCCAACCGCATCCCCCCCAACCTGCTGGACCAGTTCGAGCGACAGCTGCCCCTCAGCCGGGATGGCTACCACACGCTGCAGTACAAGCGCACGGCCGTGGAGCACCGCAGCGACAGCCCCGGGCGCATCCGCCACCTGGTCCACTCGGTGCAGAAGCTCTTCACCAAGTCGCACTCCCTGGAGGGACCGGCCAAGGGCAGCCCCGATGAGACGCAGCCCGCCAGGTACGGCAAGCGCGGCAAGAGCAAGGAACGGCGCGCCGAGCCCAAGGTGCGAGCGGGCGCGTCCCCGGGCTGGNCGCCGAGCCCAAGGCGCGAGCGGGCGCGTCCCCGGGCTGGTGGAGCTCCGACGACCACCTGGACGGCGACATGTGCATCTACCACGCCCCCTCGGGCGTCATGACCGTGGGCAGGTGCCCCGACCGCTCGGCCTCGCAGTACTTCGTGGAGGCCTACAACACCATCAGCGAGCAGGCGGTGAAGGCCTCCCGAAGCAACAACGACGTCAAGTGCTCCACCTGCGCCAACCTGCCGGTCACCCTGGACGCGCCGCTGCTGAAGAAGAGCGCCTGGGCCTCCACGCTCACCGTGAGCCGGGCCCGGGAGGTCTACCAGAAAGCCTCGGTGAACGTGGACCAGGCCGTGCTGAAGTCCGAGGCGTGTCAGCAGGAGCGCTCCTGCCAGTACCTGCAGGTACCTTTGATGTCACGGGAGGGCTGCTCAGGGTCGCACCCGGCGTCACTGGGGCTGTCTCTTCTCGGGTTCTAGTCTTGCCTCGGCTCTGAATTGTCTCCATCTGAGCAATTTATTTTGCATTTCTGTGGCTGAGTGCTCTTGTTGGGAAAATGCAAGGAAACAAAGGCTGCCTACTTCGTCCAGTTATCTTAAGATACTAGATACACCAGGGCTTTGAAAAGCACTCCTGTATAAGGCAAGAGCTATGAATGCCTTGTGTTCCTCTGTTTGAGGACTCATGGGACGGGAGGCGAGGAAAGTGGAGTCTACATAGACTTGAAATAAAACTATTTTTTTCTACAGTAAACAATGATCTATCAAGTTTTGGAGAGTTTGATTAGATCTATCCAGGGGGTTGGTGTTTGTTTGTTTATTTTTGTAATTGTAAAATTTGGCCCAAAGCTATGAGTTTGGGGAAATTGAC